TTTTATTCTTTAAAGTTTAACAATTCATTCTTTATCTTAATATCTTTATATTTGTTTGGGGTTGGCTTTCTTCCCTTTCATCTTTTTTATTGTATAGCAATCTTTCTCCTCAAACCTACCACCTCTCTTTTCTTTCCTTCTTACTTTCTCTTCCTCCCCTTCTTCTTCTCCTCCCTACTTCCTCTTCCTTTCTCCTTCTCCTCCTCTCTTCCTCCCTCTCTCTCCTACTCTAATTTCCCTTCCCTTCCTTCATCCCTCTCTATTGCTGTATCCTTTTATGCATATGGACTACTCAGAGGGCTGAAAAAGTTATTTCTGACTGGTCCTTGCACTTTTGACCAGTCCTCGAACTTACGACTGTCCTCACATTTTACGTTTTTGCCCTATCTTGTCACCATGGTGAAGAAAAGCAGTTGTGAAATGAGTGACATGGTTGTTAAGAAAGCTGCACGGGCATAAATGTGAGGATGGTCATAAGTGTGAGGACCGGTCAAAAGTGCGAGGCCCAGTCAGAAATGACTTTTTTCAGCCCTCTGGGTAGTCCTTTTGTGCATATGGACTACTCAGAGAGCTGAAAAAGTTATTTCTGACTGGTCCTCGCACTTTTGACCAGTCCTCGAACTTATGACTGTCCTCACATTTTACGTTTTTGCCCTATCTTGTCACCATGGTGAAGAGAAGCAGTTGTGAAATGAGTGACATGGTTGTTAAGAAAGCTGCACGGGCATAAATGTGAGGATGGTCATAAGTGTGAGGACCGGTCAAAAGTGCGAGGCCCAGTCAGAAATGACTTTTTTCAGCCCTCTGAAAAAAGTCTATGCACATAGCTACGCCCACCCGGTCACATGACGAGCTACCCACGCCTACACAGTCACGTGACCAGCTAGCCACGCCCACCCAGTCACATGATTGCCAAGCCACACCCCCAACTAAGCCACGCCCACATAACCTGTTGTTAAAAAATTGAATCCCACCACTGGTGAAAGGGCCTCATAAGTGGAATAGCCTAGGGCCTCTTTCAATCTAAATCCGGCCCTGCCCACAGTACCTGGATGAAACTGTCTATTTAGATCCATGCCAGTCTGGCTTCAGGCCTGGGTACAGCACGGAGACGGCATTGGTCGCATTGGTGGATGATCTCTGGAGGGCTCAGGACAGGGGTTGTTCCTCTGTTCTGGTCCTGTTAGACCTCTCAGCGGCTTTTGATACCATCGACCATGGTATCATGCTGCGCCGGCTGGAGGGATTGGGGGTGGGAGGCACCATGTTGCGGTGGTTCTCCTCCTATCTCTCTGACCAGTCGCAGTCTGTGTTGGCAGGGGGGCAGAGGTTGACCTCAAGGTGCCTTGCTTGCGGGGTGCCGCAAGGGTCGGTCCTCTCGCCGCTCCTGTTCAACATTTATGTGAAGCCGCTGGGTGAGATCATCCGTGGTTTTGGGGTGCGATGCCATCTGTATGCTGATGACACTCAGCTGTACATCTCCACCACAGACCACCCCAATGATGCCCTCGAAGTGATGTCCCAGTGTCTGGAGGCCGTGCGGGTCTGGATGAGGAGGAACAGGCTTCAACTCAACCCTTCCAAGACCGAGTGGCTGTGGATACCGGCGTCCCGATATAGCCAGCTGGTGCCATCACTGGCTATTGGGGGCGAGTCACTGACTCCCACAGAGGGGGCTCACAACTTGGGTGTCCTCCTGGACACACGGCTGTCTTTAGAAGAGCATATGACGGCTGTGGCCAGGGGGGCTTTTTAACGCCTGATACGCCAGTTGCGCGGGACTCCTTGTGCACGGTCACTCATGCCCTGGTCACGTCACGCCTGGACTACTGCAACGCTCTCTACATGGGGCTCCCCCTGAGGAGCACCCGGAGGCTCCAGCTGGTGCAGAATGCGGCCGCGCGGGTGATTATGGGAGCGACGTGGCGCTCCCACGTAACACCTCTCCTACGCGAGCTGCATTGGCTCCCGGTGGTCTTCCGGATGTGCTTTAAGGTGTTGGTTCTCATCTTTAAAGCGCTCCATGGCTTAGGGCCAGGATATTTGCGAGACCGCCTGCTGCTACCGATAACCTCCCACCGGCCAATTTGCTTGCACAGAGAGGGCCTCCTCAGGGTGCCGTTGGTCAGGCAATGTCGGCTGGCGGCCCCCAGGGGGAGAGCCTTCTCTGTGGGGGCACCCGCCTTGTGGAACGAGCTGCCTCCTGGAATACGATTGATCCCGGACCTCCGGACCTTCCGTAAAGCCCTGAAGACGTTTTTATTCCACCAAGCCGGCCTAGCCTAAATGGTTTTTAATTGGGATTTTAAATTTTATGGATTTGGGGGTTTTCTAGAAGTTAGTCGATTGACTCTTTGTTAATGTATAAGTGTTTACATGTATTTGTGTTTTACATTTATGTTAATAAAATTTAATTAAAAAAAATATTTATTTTCAGCATGTCAAAGGTTTTTAATCCTGAATACTTAATAGTGATGTTTACCCTCAAATAGGGCACATAGGATTGCATTGCAACAGTTCTGTCATTTAATGATGATGATAATTCCCCACCCCCCCTTTTTTTTTGTCTTCTCCTGACTTATATTTTCTTGCACAAACCATTGTATGATAAAGAGACATCCAGTTAAGGTCAAAAGACAAGATAGATGACTGAGGAAGAGGAAATCACATGGATGTTATTTGGAATTTTTAACTAAGAAGCTTGCTGCAAAGGTGAAACTTGCCTTCCAGTCAGCTGGTTGATGGAAACCTCCTCCGTGTATTTGGCCTCTGAAGCAATCAGTCAGGGGTGTGTAGCTGATTTCTTTCCAGCCAAGATGCATTTAGATGATTAGCTTCAATTTGTAATTCTTCAGGAACTTCTAATTTGAGTGTGTCTCAATCATTATTTCTTTTTTAAAGCCTTATTTTGCAAAGATGTAAAGATATCAATTACTGAGGGTATAGTGTTCCCTCTCACATTTTAGATGGTTCAGGATTATTGTATGGGGTGAAATTGGATCAAGTCTTGTTCTCCTGTTATGAGGTTATGAGTAACTACATAGAGTATTAGGCAACAGGAAACTCATCTATTTGTACAGCACTGCTCATTTTCTTTCCTATTTTACTATTGCCTTCTAGGAAATGGCTTACTCAATACTTTATTATATCTGTACTGCCCTCTGCTGGTTTTTTTAAGGTGAGTCATTGAACTTCTGCTTGTGTATAAGACACTTATCTGCTGCATAATTGCTTACCATCTACAAACTATGGTTGGATGATATACTTGTGTAAGAGGTACTTTTGTCTGCCGGTCAACAAAATTTGCACACATGAAGTCTTTGCAAAAATAGATAACTTATGCTGTTTTTTGCTTTTGTGGTTTCCTATCAGTTTTGGCTGGCTCTGGAATTCTGGAAGTTGAAGTCCACACAGCTTAAAATTGCCAAGTGTGTGAAAACTGCTCTAAATAATTTATGGTATTTTGAATGCTATATGCTGCCTTGAGAACTGTTTGGAAAATTGGAAGGGCAGGACAGAAATTATTTAAATAAATGTAGGTCTGCTCAAAGGCAAAGTCCTTTGAATTTAAGGGCATGTGTTCATAAAACGCTAGTGGCATTAATCTTTTTGCAGTCCATCCACCTCATGGGATGGAAATCCATGGGTAAGAAAATAGGCAGGGGTGTTATGAAGGTTGGGACAGAATTACTGCACAATGGAAATACTTTCTAGCATTGAGGCATACTTCTGTGGCCTAAAAGGATGCATAATCATGAGAGTTTTCTTCTATAATTGTGTTTATAAAATCTGTCTCACAGGAATTTGATAATAAAGTGAGCACAATTTATGAAAACCTCTTTAAAAATTAGTTATTATTAGACAAAAACTACTTAAAAATAAACAAACTGAGATTGTCGCTAGTCTGAATAACCCTAAGTATACTGTTTGGGAGCCAAATGTCAATGCTGTTGAGAAATCCAAAGGCTTGTCGATGCTAATTCTGGATGATACATTTTTTTACTCCTCTCTTCTCTTCCTTGTCGGTCAAAGGGAATTCTTTATAACAAATCCAGCGCTTAGCATAAAACCCTCCTTCTGGTGAGAAAATGGTTTAAGATGGAGGGATTTTGAATCTAGCAAATTCCCATCCTCTCTCCTGAAGTGCTTTGTTTGGCCTTCTACTTACACCAAAGTGAAGTACCTCCAGAGGCTTCTGGTGAGAAGACTAATTCTTTCTATAATCTCGGAGGGGGCGACTCCAACAAATCCAGCACTTCCTGAGGGTCCATCTGGAACCAGAGGACAGCAACTTCAGATTATGACTATACTGGCCATTTGAAATTTAAGAGGCTGTATGGAAAAATTATTCTGTGTACTTATCACTACTAAAAAATTTGCTGGCAGGTTCTGTATATTTTTTTTTGAGTGACACTGAGACAAAAGAAATGTGCAAGGAAGCTTTATGTTTTATGATGCTTTCAAAGTTCTATTAAACAAAAGTTGTCTCCTGTTTAGATTATAAAGTATCAGGATCATAAGGTCAGAGCTCTATTTAGCATCACCGGGAAGAGAAGAACAAACACAATCTGATTTGTCAGCAAGCCCTTTTCTACGCCTCTGCACATTGACTCAGCTGCCTAGGCAAGTTAAGCATTCCCATGAAGGCTGCGCCGAGGATACTAATGTATAAGAAAAGAAAATGTTTCTTCTCTCTCACACACAAACTGCTGGAAAATCATCTGGTATGCTTTCTTTTACAGGCCTTCATTGTGTGGCTTTTTTGTAAGTTATTTCTTTTTTTACTGTATTTGTAAATAATTTCCCATTTTTTTAAAAAAACTGAAAGCTGCTTCAAATCTTGCACAGGGAAGCTTCTTGGTGAACCGTGAGCTGCATCTACATGATGTTTTTCATCCATCTGAATTCAGGCAGAATCCAGTTGTGAGCGAATATTTATGATCCCTTTGAGTCACTTGATTTTAATAAAACCATTTTCCTGGAAAGCGGAAGGTCATGATTTCCAATGATGTCTGCCAAGGAACTGGAGAACAAATAAAAACTCCCTCTTCCTGCAATTAAAGCCCATAACAAGAACTCCTTTTTCCTGCAGAAAAAGAAGAACGTTTTCAATAAATGAAACTTGAACTATGTTTTATTTACATGTGTGTTAATAAACTTGTTTTTAATAGTTTGAAAACAAGAACTATGTTGGCTCATAGTGCCTACATTACTCCAAGCTTCTTCCCACCACTCAGGTTTGGATTTGAGAATTCTCGTAATTTGAATATGCAAGGGGAGGTATTCAGCACCAGCGGCAGGAAGGAAGACAGCCTCCTGATTTGAGGAGGATACTATGGCTATTAATACTGTTCTGATACTGTGTTTTCATAGCCAGAGCCACGGCATCATATTGAGATACAACCAGCTTTTGACCTCATGTTCCTTTTGTTGCTCTGGCAACAGCAGTGACAAATAACAGAGCTACAGTTATTTATAAAAATGGGTGGAAAATGGAAGAGGTATTTGACACTTAAATTCTCAGTTGGCTTAGAGCAGAGGTGCCAAATCAGGGTTGTGGTTGACCTCCAGGGGCTGGGTGGGAGTGGCCAACTGGTTGGGCGTGGCCAGTTTGACTTCACCCCCCAAACTGCTGCATGTTTCCTCTTCGCATTGGGTAGACTGGGCTGAAGCCACACTGGCCTAATTTTTCCTCTTTGCATTGGGTAGACCAGGACAGTCCCCCGGGCCAGATCCGACAGCATCATGGGCCGAATCCAGCCCATGGGCCTTGAGTTTGACACCCCTGGCTTAGAACAAAGTGGATATTACAGGCAATGCATTTCACAAGGCTGTTAAAAAGACTGTACTTTTCCAGCATAACTTTACCTCTAGATCAAGGCTGTCAAGGCCAGCCCGCAGAAAAGTCCCAATACATCGCCATTATGACGTGAGTTTGACACCCCTGCTCTAGATGATTCTGGGCATTGACTTTAGGTGGACAGTAAGCAGGCTGAAAATTATATTTTCAAATAATTGATATTGTCACAGGAAATAGTTTATTTTTGTTTCGTTCTTCACTTTCCATAATCTTAATTGATTGGGATTATTAACAAATCTTATAATAAGCATATAATAGAAAAAGTAGCTAGTGCTCCCCAAAAGATTAATGTAATTGAAAAATGAGAGGTTTCCTTAAGTTTGTACAATTCACCAGAGCTGACACTTAAATTGCTTAACGCACTGTATTGCTTAACGCACTGTAAGCCGCCCTGAGTCTCCGGAGAAGGGCGGCATATAAATCAAATAAATAAATAAAAAAAATGCCCTTCGGGGAGTCTGTGAATGGGTAAAAAAGTCAAGATGGCAGTTATTGCTGCACAATTAAAGCCCCATCCTTTTCTTTTCAACAATTTCGCATCAGTAAACATTTCTTACATATCCATTTTTCTCCCTTACTTCAATTTGCCATTTATACATATAGTTCATATATTGATACATAAAGATAACAGTGTACTCAATAGCGATCATACATTCTGTGTCCGTTCCATTTCCACTCGTATGTTACTGCATTTCAACTCTTATATCTTCCTCATTTACTCTTTCCTTGCCTTTTATCCCGCTCCTCTAACCATTCATACCATTTCTCCCATACCATATAATATTCTGTTTCTTCCTTTTCTTGTATTTCTTTTGTAAGTTTGTCCATCTCTGCACACTCCAAAACTTTTCTAATCGAATTTTCTTCTGTTGGTATATTATTATTTTTCCAATTTTGTGTGTATATTATTCTTGCCGCTGTTGTAATATGTATAATTAAATATTGCATTTTTTTATCATAGGTCCCTGGAAGTATTCCTAATAAAAATGTTTACTGATGCAAAATTGTTGAAAAGAAATTTTTTTTTTTTTAAAAAAAACTTTAATAAAAATTATTATTAAAAAAAAAGCCCCATCCTTTTTAAAACATGCTTAATAACACATGTTGAAAAAGGACAGAGCTTCAGTCACAGCCACATCTTGATTCCCTACTCCCACTTATGCTTCTGTGTCATCAATTGCTCTTGATTCTAAAGTCAACTTGTGCTTTATTGAAGGTACCAATGTCCTGGCTTAGGTCACTGCCACTGCTCTAAAGATCAGTACATACCTCATCCAGAAACACCGTGGTTGGGATCTCAAGAGATCCAGTATCTTCTTCTCTAGACAAACTAGAATTAATCTCAGCAAAGCTGTATTTCCAATTTCAGCATTTGAACAATGGGGTATCTAGATAGGAGATGCTTACATCAGAAGATTGATTGGTCATGGGATATGGCTGGACTTCCTAAAACTCCCCCCCCTCTTTTTTTTATTGTGCCTTTCAGTCAGTTTTTGACTCCTGACAACTGCTTGGACAAATCCATGCAGTTTTCTTGGCAAGATTTTGGAAATGGTTTGCCATTGCTTGCTTCCTAAGACTGTGAGAAAAGGTCTGAGCCAAGGTCACCTTGCTGGCAAGACTCACCATGTCCCAGTTTCTAGCCTGATGCATTAACCACTACACTGTTCCCAGACCTTTATAGTAATTTTCTACAATAGAAATGGGCAATCTGAGCCCTGCATAGTCTCCAATCCCAGGAGCTATCTCAAGCCAGGTTCCTAAAATTGATGGCATAATATCCTGCCATTCTGAAATGGAAACAGTAACTGAAATATGCTTAATATAGTTGCAGTCAGAGAGTTGCTGCTTGATCCTCAGCTGTCACTTGATTCACAGGTGGCAGCTATAACAAGGACTGCTTTTGGCTAACTAATCCTATGTCAATTGCTGCCCTTCCTATGCAGGTTGACTTTTTTTATCTTCTAAAGAATAATGTGTCTATGTAAAATAAATTAATGAAAAGAAACATTCCCTCCTTCAGTTTTTCTTCTGAAAAGGCTGCAGTATCCCCATACATACTACAATGTACATAATGCATAAAGGTAAAGGTAAAGGTTCCCCTCACACCTATGTGCTAGTCGTTCCCGATTCTAGGGGTGGTACTCATCTCTGTTTCAAAGCTGAAGAGCCAGTGCTGTCCAAAGACGTCTCCGTGGTCATGTGGCCGGCATGACTAAACACCAGACAAGAGCCTGTAGTACAGAGGACTAAAGCACTGTTATTAACATCTGCTGCTTGCAATTACTGCAAGTTCAAATCTCACCAGGCTCAAGGTTGACTCAGCCTTCCATCCTTTCAAGGTAGGTAAAATGAGGACCCAGATTGTGGGGGCAATAAGCTGACTTTGTATAAATATACAAAAGTATGAAGGCTATTGCTTAACGCATTGTAAGCCGCCCTGAGTCTCCGGAGAAGGGCGGCATATAAATTAAAGCAAAAAAAAAAAAAAAAGGCACATGGAATGCTGTTACCTTCCTACCAAAGGTAGTCCCTATTTTTCTACTTGCATTTTTTACATGCTTTCGAACTGCTAGGTTGGCAGAAGCTGGGACAAGTAACGGGAGCTCACTCCATTTCGCGGCACTAGGGATTCGAACCGCTGAACTGCCGACCTTTCGATCGACAAGCTCAGTGTCTGCTGAGCTAGCTGAGCTAGCTGCTGAGCCACTGCGTCCCTACATAATGCATTGAAGCAGCATATTAGAAATATATAGGAACACAGTCATAAATAAAAAGATGGACACGACAAAATTGTTTTAAAGTTGCATTAAGAATATGGTGAACACGAATATGGTGAGAATATGGTGAGAGTATTTTAACTTACTGCATCTATGTGGTTTACCAATTGCACAGTGGCAGATAGGACAGCACTCCAGAGGGTCAACGTCATTGCCCAGAGGATCATTGGTTGCCCTCTCCCCTCTTTGGAAGAGCTTTAGAGCTCCCTGTGCCTTAAGAAAGTTCAATTATATGGAATGTAAAGGATGTATGTTTGTGTTTTTATTTTTATAGTTACAATGTACACTGAAGACAGCATTTAATTTCATTGTACCATGAGCAATGACAGTAAACTAAACACAACACAACACAACACAGCACAAAGGAAAACTTCTTGGGGAGGGTTTTTTAAAAAGAATAATCTTCATTATTTGCTAACTGAGTAATGTTGGAAGAAATATCCATCTGGTTCAGTTCCAAGCTGTGAGGAAGACACTGGAAAAATGGAGGTTGATTGGAAAGCGGGTTTAATGATGAAGCAGAACCACATGGATGGTCCTGGGCAGCTGACCACATGGAGTTGAGAGTGAGGGGCTTTTATACCTTTTCTTGGGCTTTGCACTTGAACTTCCTGTTCCTGTGCAAGAATATGTATTCTATTGGCTGTTGTCAGACTCCCATGGTGCCAGGTACAAATTCTAGGAATTTGTCTGAGCCAAGGTTGGCTGAGGTTTGGCTGATGCAATGTGCTCATAAATATATTTTTATTCTTTTTTAAAAATATACATCCATCTTGTATGTGGAAAGAGTTGGTTCTGGGTGTCATTCATATTAATCCAATTTGCAGTAACAATATTAATAATCTCTATCAAATTTAAGTAATCCTCATATTATTTAAACATATATAAAAAAATGCCTAACGTGTAAACTTCTAATCTATCTATTATTTTTATTCATTCTATAAAAAATTATATTCTAATATTTCCCCTAATTTTATTTCTGCCTCTTTCATCTTACAATCAGGCTACTTTAATATTTAAAGGGCAATTATTCCTATCCATCATCTCTTCTTCTCTGGCCCAATCTTTCTCATTGGGCACAAAATATCTGCTGAGGGCTATTAAGAAAGACTTGGGGGCTGTTTTCTGTCTCAAAGAGCATGTTTCTCTATTTCTCCTTTAGGGAAATATAATATTCTGCCTTTTTAATATTTCCTAAAATATTTCATTCTTCTGGGAGGGGGTGGCTTCCCACAGTAACAAGCAAAAGAATAGATATATACAGGCAAAAAATACTTAATAATAACAATTTTATTCTTTCTATTCTATTATTCTATTCTTTTGTTTCTATATTCTATATTCATTCTTTTATTCTTTCCTCTCCACTGGGAACAAAATATAGTTGTCTGCTAACCTTTTTTGCAACAATCCTGTGAAGTGGATTAAAAACAAAATGAGTGACATCATCCCAAGACTACGTACTGAACTTGGTGACTAAGTGGGGATTTGAATGCGGATCTCCTTCAGTCCGACCTTCCAGTCACAGCATCACCCTAGAACAGTGTTTTTCCACTTGGAGGCTTCAAGCTCTGTGAGAACTTCAACTCCCAGAATTCCTCAGGCAGTAACCCTACACGATTTTACAAGTCAGCTTGGCTTTGCCCAACCCTCTCTCTCCTCTCCCACTTCCGTCTTGGTTTGGTCTGGTCCACGCCCACTAGAAGTTCAGCTCCCGCCACTAGCCGTTTCAAAGCGCGTGTAGTTTATGGGGATCATAGAGAGAGGCCGTGGTGAGGCAGAGTCAACTTCCGGTTAACAGAGATCACTTCCGTTGGCGACAGAACGGCGTGCATATACATCTATTAATAGATTTTTATTTTTAATCTAGAATGACTTGGAAGGGAGCTTCCTCGCCTTTACAGTGTTTAACACATTCTTCAACTCTTTTTTAAAATCAAGAATGCCCCCAAGACCTCCTCCTACTCTCCTGCACTTTTTAATGTTTCTGCTCTGACACTTTGTTTACGGTGACGTCATCACTACGAGCCGGAAGCGACATGCCCCCTGGTGTGCATGCACCTTGCTTATTTCCAGGCGAAGTAACAGTAACAAGAGTTGGAAGGGACTTTGGAGGTCATCTAGTCCAACCCCCCTGCTCACGCAGGAGATCTATACTAGGGATTCGAACCGCCGACCTTTCTGATCGATAAGTTCAGCGTCTTAGCCACTGAGCCACCTAGGGAGCCTCGAAGCGGGTTCGCCGCGATGATCCGCCTGTTGGCTCCATTGTCGAGCCGGAGAGCTGCTTCGCGGGTGAGAGATTGTGAAGCCGGGCAGGAAACTACTGAGTGGCCGGGAAGAATTTGTTGCGCAAGGATCGAGGTCCCCTTATTAGATGACCCTTGAGAGAGCTGATCATATTTTCTGTGGGGGGGGGATACTGGTTCTATGCACGGAGTCTCCATTTTCAGCAAATAACTATAAAATGTTTTTAATTGTCTCATCTCTTTATGGCAGTAAAATGCTCCATGGGTGTTGAATTAATTCACCCTAAATTAGGTGATTTTAGTTGGGGTTTTATGGTAGTCTAATCATACATTTCACCACGTAAATAATATTTTTAATAAATCGGGCTCAATATCCAAGGGTTATTGTTGATATAATAAAGTAAAATAGTTATAATTATAAAGTTCGGGTGACCTTAGTTCCCAAGAGATCAGCCACATTTTAGATTAATGTATTGAGTTGAATTCAGTTCTGTAGTCAGTTTATGGGTCAGTGTGATGTGCAAACTTAGCATAGGTTAATGGGTTGAATAGGTGTGGTTTCCCCTCCCTTCCATTCAGTCGTGTCCAATTCTCAGTTTTCTTTGCAAGACTTCTCAGAAGTGGTTTGCCATTGCCTCCTTCCTAGGTCTGAAAGAAAGTGACTGATCCAAGCAGGTCACCCAGGTGGCTTTGTGCATAAGGTGGTGTTCAGATGTCTAGCCTGATGCCTTAATCACTACACCAAACTGACTCTGTATTTGTGTTTTCCATGGCTATTTATGTTGTATGAGTACAGCCATTATGTTTACATTTTATGAGATCAGAATAATATTCCCCCCTGGCTGTCCTGGGCACTCCCAAATTTGATAGGAAACTATGCACAGGAAATCCATTGCATACTCTCATATTGCATAAAAACTAATCTTTGGTCACAAAGTTTCTTTTCTTTTCCTTTTATTTATTTAGCAGCTGTTTGTTTCATTTTCTATCTTGCTTATTAGTTTAAAATAATTTCTTCCCATGGTTCTTTTTATGAATCATCCTCATAATATCCCTGTGAGACAATTAAATTGAGATAATGACTTATCTAAGATCACAACATAAATATAGTATCTGAAAGGATTCATGCTTGTGACTTCTTGATAAACATGTATTTTCTATATCACACTAGATCTCATTTAAGAATAATCTGTTAATAAGTAAACTCTCTTAATAGATAAGATCAGTCTGAGTTCACAGAACACGCTAAATCAAATCTTATTTTGCTTTGGGGCTATGCATAATCCCATTTAATTCTGTTTAATTCAGGTAATCTTGATTAAGAATACTCATGTTTTAGCAAGTTGCATGAACATGACCTCTTTTTAAGGTAGCACTCTTTTGGAAGAGGTGCAATTTGGGATTGTGGGACTTGTCCAATGCATCTGAGCAGTGGTACATTGTAGAAAGTCTGCAAAGGCATTTGCAGGCTTTGTGGGAAAGTGATACCTTTTTTGCATTGTGCTTATGTTGGGTGTTCATTACTTATTAATAACAGCACTGGTTTACTGAGTTAATCCTAGTTGCAGCATTTCCATGAAATGTTGAACCATAGTTAATCACATTGGCTGTGTTTGGACAGCGCTGTAGAGTAATTTTGGTTTGTAGTAGGTAGTTCAACAAATTAGCAAGTTGACTTTTATATCCAATGAATTTTATAAAACTACATAGAAAAATGTTGGGGATCATAATCAGAAAGCCTATTCCTGCTTCGGTGAGCTGCTCATATTCAGTAGCACAGGGAACTATGGAATGTGATAAGAAAGATGATGGCAAGGGTAATGGAATGGATAGAAAAAAAACACTTATTTTAATGTCTCTGCATCAACTCAGTGTTGGGCTAAATAAAGATACACAGAATTGGAGCTCTGTGCTGCATTTCATCTCAGATATTTTATTTGCCTTAGCAACGAATAAAAGGTTGGGTACAAGAAAGGATATTCCAGGTATAAGTAATAGTGATAGAAACTAAGCGGCCTAATGACAATCCATCCATAACACATTGATCCAATGAACTACAGGTCAGGGTGCTCTTTAGATTTTTAACTTGGAACTATAGTTCCCCATGGCCTGGCCTGCCAAAATACCAACAGTTGAGCATTTTGTCAGTTATAGTCCAAAATATCTGGAGGCATTTTTCACTTGTTGAACAATTGAACAACTATTCTGGGTTATTTAACTACTATTTGCTTTAAACCACAATTTCCAGTTTGCAGTAATCGAGAAACAGCTGCTAATGTGAAACTAAATTCTAGCTTATTCCTGTTTTAGCAAACGGGGGAAAAAAGAATTAGCTATGAGTCTGGCTATTTACCAATCATTTTTTCCCTTTCTCATGCTTTAATGTAGTTTATCATTCTGCTTGAACACAATCTTTGCACTGGAGATCATCTTTGTTTCATTTTCTATCCCAAGCTTATTTTTACATTGTCAAAAGAACAAAGTTTGGTTGGCAAGGTAGATGGTCCAGCTGCTGTGGTGGATGAATCTTCATTGCAAAGTAAGTTTATTTCATGAAAGCATGATTTCCTTCTATATATGTAAATTTATATTTGTGATTCTTCTCCATTACCACAAGTTATTATAGCAGCAGTTCTATGAACTACCGTATTTTCTGGCATATAAGACGACTGGGCATATAAGACGACCCCCCGAATTTTCCTGTTAAAATATAGGGTTTGGGCTATACTTGCCGTATAGGACTACCCCTCTTCCAACGCACACCAAATAAAAATTAAAAAACACCAACTGGCTCACCCACAATGTAAAAGCAGCTGTTCTAGACCCAAAATGGCCCCTGCAACAAGCAGGAACCTCACACAGCCACAAAAAGCCCCAAAAAAAACCAACTTTCACACTTTACACACACACAACACAACACAACAGAACTGGCTCACCCATAATGTAAAAGCAGCTGTGCTAGACCCAAAATGGCCCCTGCAACAAGCAGGAACCTCACACAGCCACAAAAAGCCCAAAAAAAACAACTTTCACACTTTACACACACACAACACAACACAACAGAACTGGCTCACCCACAATGTAAAAGCAGCTGTGCTAGACCCAAAATGGCCCCTGCAACAAGCAGGAACCTCACACAGCCACAAAAAGCCCAAAAACCCAACTTTCACACTTTACACACACAAAATTCCACATACAGCTTTGTGAGTTTTTGTGTGTTTGTGTAGTTAGAGTGAAACACTACAGAAACACACTAAATCTCAGAAAACTGCACAAATATTATTTTATTTTATTTTATTTTATTTTTATTTTTATTTTTATATGAAAGCTAAATTTAAAACTTCCTAAACTTTAAATGGCTAGGTCTAAAAAAGAACAACTAAAAAAAAACCCAATTAACTATTTTTTTTAAAGATCCCAAAGGGGAAAAAAACTTACCCAATAGAACAGGGGTCTCCAACCTTGGCAACTTTAAGACTTGTAGACTTCAATTCCCAGAATTCCTCAGCCAACTTTGTTTTGCTGGCTGAGGAATTCTGGGAGTTGAAGTCCACAACTCCCTGCCTGCTTGATTGCAGGCAGGGAGTTGCTTGCTGATGGAATGGATTCAGGCAAGCGAAGCAAGGCAAGCAGCTAAGGTAAGCAAGCTGGAGGGGGAAAACTTTTTTTCTTCTCCATGGCTCTGGCGATCCCAGCTGAGTTGCCTGATTAGCAGATCGTCAGAGCTTGGATCGCCAGAGCCATTTAAGGCTTGTCAGAGCCTTTTGGGCTGGTCTGCCTGGTTACAGGAGAACGACACCCGGCGTATAAGACGACCCCTGACTTTTGAGAAGATTTTCATGTGTTAAAAAGTCAGAAAATACGGTAGGTTAGCCTGAGAGTTACTGGCTAGACCAGGGTAACTAACTGAATTCCATGGCAGAATGAAATTAGATTAAAAGCCAAGTTTCCCTAGCCTTGGGCCAACAGCATAACTGCTATTCTATTGGTACAAGTTAATTGACTGTTGCTGCCTACTCCAAGCTGTGATGTGCAGTAGGAAATAGGTTTTTTTTGTCCGTTTCCAATATTATTTTACAAAAACATGTTTTAGAAATGTTTTGGAATCTTCTGATTCCAAATCTTTTGAAGTAATCTTGTCAGAATTCCTATAGTCAGCTCTTCAGACAAAAAAACAATATTTAGCAAATATAAAATACTACTTTTTGTAATTAAAAAAAAAAGGAAACATCCTTTCCCAAACTGTTCTCTTCCAGTTGAGTCAGGTTACAATTTACATTATTCACAACCATTTTTTTGTTTAAATGATTCCGATATGTGATATATTGATCAATTGAGGAAATGAAAATTGTTATGGGTTAGAATTTCTCAAAAAAAAAAAAAAATCATTGTTCATCCATGTTTGGAGGTTTTTAGATGAATTTTTTTGGGTTTTTCCCCTTTTTCCATTTTTTTGTGTCCATATTAGGGATGTGCAATGTATTTGAAATAGGTTCTTCATAAAACATATTATTAGCAAAACATTGGTGAGTAAAGTGTTTAAACAGAGACAATTTGGGAAGTCTCACAGGGTTGCTTTAAAGCATAAGTGTGTGAATGTACACACAACCATTTTACTTGCAGTTGCCCTTTTAAAGGTTTTGTGAAAAAATAGTTTTATGAAAAACATCTTTCAGATGCTTCACATTGCCTTTGGTGCACAACCATATACCAAAGGCACCATGTGTCTACAACCGTGTGTCTACTACCAAAGAAGAGATGTAGTATATTCCATTTGGTAAGACAGGGTAGCCTCTTTAGAGGAACAACTGCTTATGCTGGCAGTGGTTTGTTCTCCGAGCTTGCTGTTTAGCTTTCAAACGTTTCGTCTCTCAAGCTAGGTAACATCATCAGCAAAACTTTGGACTGCTTCAGACAACTGCTTATACTACTCCTATTAGCCCTACACATTTGATGCAAGCATTTAGAAATGGGAAATAATTGTTTCAGTTTAGTTATCTGTGAAGCATGTTGGTAATAGTACTTATTTCCTTTAAATATTTTTCCAGTTTTATTCTGAAATCTTCTATTGTATTTTTGGGGAAAATATTCTATTGCTGGCTTTTAAAGAGCCATCCATGATGAGGCAGCAGCATTTTCCCTAGGTAGCAAAGAAAGCAAGTATTTATAAACTGGATAAGGAATACTTTGCTTTTTTTCTTGACATTAGGGATGTATGGATTATTCAACATGTAATACAGGCAATCCTCTATTTATGGCAGACTGCCCAAAAGCTACTTGCAACCCAGTTCGGAAGTTATGACATCCCCGACTCCTCTCCGTGGTCATGTGATTCATGGCCATTTGCAGTGCCCTGCGGTCATGTGATGGCAATTTGTGATCCCCCCCCCCCAAAAAAAAAAAAAAAAAAAAACCACCTCTGGCATTTACTTCTGGTTTCTGGAAAAAACTGTCCCATAGTGAATACTTAACCAACACCTCAAAAAAGCTCATAAAATCGGGTCTGGTCACATGATGACACACATTACAACCATCACAACTTACAATCATAATTGCCATGCTCAATTACAGTTGTAACTTGAGGACTACCTGTATAAGTTAAGTATGATCTGTAACTCTTTTATCCCATCTAAAGAATCCTCTGAAATGATTGAGCTGTGTCTTTTTTTCTTTTTTTTCCTTAGAAACATCTCCTGAAGTAGTCTCCAGTAACCCAATTCTACGGAAATGCAGTCTCCCCTTCCCCAAACACCTTAAGCCAGTCCAAGCTTGGATCGAATCATTGCAACATTACAATGCTAGGCATCTGGGCTTGGCAGACCTGCATCCAGATGTATTTGCAGTGATGCCTCGGTAAAGGCTGTTGTGTTATTCATTTCCATACTGAAACTGAGCAAGCTATCTCATTATCCCTCTCCCCTCCCAAGAAGCGATAGATATTTTTTTCAGGTGAGGGTATAGGGAGTTATGACAGAAGGGATGGAGCAAAAATACAATTTAATAATGATTACCAGGCAAGAGCTGCAGAGATTTTAATACATTAGGAATCATCTCCAAGGACAGCATCTTAATGATATACATGAATCTGTTGTCCTGGACCATACAATTCATATGAAGTCAGAGTTGTATGGCAGTGAAAATCTGATATGCGTATATCTCAGCTATTAGAGCTATGAGCAACTGAGAAATTCTAGGGCAGTAATACTGAAATGGTTTGCCTGTGCTTCTTTCTGTTGTTTGTGTGCACTTTGACATTGTTTGCTTCTCATATATTTTGCTAGCTATTGCTTCTGTCTGAAGCATGTCTCTGTATTTTTTCCTCAGCCTTGATATCCTACATTCAGTGGCCATGTGGCAGAAGAATTTCAAAAGAATTGTGAGTATTGGAATGTAGATTGCAACAGATGCCTTGGATAATCAAATTGTACCTGAGGTTCTCTGTCCAGAGAGATGTGTGCAATAGTCTTAGAGGGGCACCTCTGCATGAAAAGTGCTGCCATTCCCAAACAGTCTTCCAGGGTAAAGCTGGATATCTAAGTAGCCTTATATTTCTCCCACTCCGAAGAAAGCACAAATTGGACCGTGGCTCTCACCATTTTTAATCAGTTACAGTTAAGAGCATTGAATATCATTCTACAAGCACTAAAAAACTGGTTGACTTGTCCCTGTTTTGCAGCCATAAGGATCACACACCTGTTCATTTTTTGGGCGTTAAGGTGAGGATACAGGCAAGTGCCTCATGTGCCAGAGTGCAGATGAATGGGTGAAAAAGTAGCAGGAACAGGAGCGACGTGTGGGTGCAAGTTGTAACCTCCTGCCAGCTTTCCCATTTGGAGCATAACCGTAACACCTTAGAAAATGGAATTTAAAAAAATGATTATTTTTCTTCTTCAAAACATAAATGGCCATTAATACTGAAGTTGGCAGGTCTTGTAGAATACAATTTAGACACGTCTACATTTCCACCTTGTCAAATTGCATTATCGTTGGTTGATTTTGGCAGGAGGTTGGGTATTATATTACTACCACCAAAAGTTAAGATTGTACATCCCTGAGGGTTGTTTTTCTGTAAAACTGTGTATACCTTAATTGTGCAGCACAAAATACTAAAAGGGGCAACTGCCATAATAATGATTGCATGCTTAGGAAGTCCTTTTTATAGCAACAATGCTCAGACTTATCCTGTTTCCCCCAAAATAAGACATCCCCTGATAATAAGCCCAATCGGGCTTTTGAGCGCATGGCAGTAAGGCCAAGCGCTTATTTCAGGGTTCAAAAAAATATAAGGCAGGGTCTTATTTTCGGGAAAACACGGTGCTTTACAGCCGTCTCTAAGCGGTTTACGGAGTCAGCATACTGTCCCCAACAATCTGGGTCCTCATTTTACAACCTTGGAAGGATGGAAGGCCGAGACAACCTTGAGCCAGTTAGTATCGAACTCCTGGCAATGAACAGAGTCAGCCTCCTCTGTATAGATTACAGAAATTGTGTGTCAGATTGATGGTTCTGCCATAATTGTAAACAGTTCCTAATACTTGGCAATAAAAGAAAAAGGCATCAGATTGAAGTCATCTGAAGAAGCTGCTATGGGGAGTCCCTGGTTCAAATTTGATTTAATCCATGAATTCCTATCAGGAAGTCTGTTCTGTTTTAGTTGTTCCTGGATCCATGAAAAAGAAGTAAAAACTTGAGCTAATTTGTAAAAGTCTTGAGCGAGTGAAAGAAATGACAAGCAGGAACTTCATGGAACACTGGTGCAGGGGTCTCCAACCTTGGCAACTTTAAGCCTGGCGGACTTCAACTCCCAGAATTGAAGTCCTCCAGGCTTAAAGTTGCCAAGGTTGGAGACCCCTGCTCTGGTGAACTTCCTTTCTGACACATCCTGCTCCAGCTTTAGTCTCAGATCTTCCTTTTCGTTTCCAGAGTTATGCCAGGGCCAAGACACGTGCTGAGATGCGTGGTGGTGGTAGGAAACCCTGGAGGCAGAAGGGCACGGGTAGGGCACGGCATGGCAGCATCCGATCACCTATATGGCACGGAGGTGAGTGAAATAGATTGTATCTAATGGATAGCTTTGTAAGATATATTATTTTGGGGTAAACATTACTTCTTGCCTTGCCTTTTCTCATTTCTGCAAGTTTTCTTTTGATTTCACAGCTTTCCTGCAGACAGGAGTGAGATTTTTTCTTCTTTCTTTCTTTTGTAAATAGGCCCCTCTAGAAGCCTGTATTTTTCTTAAAAGATATTTTTAAAGAATTAGAAATACATAAGCCTGAAATTTGTTTCATGGTTTTTAATCAAGAGGAAGAAATCCCTCTCTGATTTGTTTTCTCAGCCCATCATAAAAGCTGCTATTAATTTGTCTGTTTGTTAAAGTTCTCTCATTTTTTCCCTCCAGAGCTCAAGGCAGTGCAGAGTCTTCACTTAACAAAGGCAACTGGGATTGGAATTTCTATTACTAAGTGATGTCGTAAAGCTTGGTGTCACATGACTATGTTGCTTAACGACAGAAAGTCTAGCACTTCCAGTTGCCATCATTAAGTGAATCCTGCAATAATGTTAAGTATAAAGTACCCATGGCTCAGGACCTGGGTACTTGCGGGACCGCCTACTACCACCAATAGCCTCCCACCGGCTGGTACGCTCCCATAGAGAGGGGCTCCTCCGGGTGCCGTTGGCCAAACAATGCCGACTGGTGGCCCCCAGGGGGAGAGCCTTCTCTGTGGGGGCACCTACTATCTGGAACGAGCTCCTCCCGGAGATTCGGAGGATCCCGGATCTGCGCACCTTCCGCCGCACTTTAAAGACCTTTTTATTTCACCAGGCGGGCCTGGCCTAATTTTCTCCCTCTTTTATAAAAGATTTTTAATTTTTAATATTTTTTAGTATTTTATATATTCAAATTTTAAAATTGGTTTTAAATTGATTGGGGTTTTAATTTGTCTGGGCCAAAACTATTTAATTTGATTTTAATTCCACTTTTAAATTTTGTATGTATGTATTTTATTGTTTGCCTGTGCACTGCCCTGAGTCCTTCGGGAGTAGGGCGGTATAGAAATCAAATTAAATAAATAAATAAATAATGTCACAAGCTGCCACTTGTGACCTTCCGCAAGCTTCCCCATTGACTTTACATATGGGAAGCCAGCAAAGAAGGCTGCAAATGGACCAAGGGATGGAGTGATGTATGGTAGTTGTGATCCAGGTGCCTGGATCATGTGACTACAGGGACACTGCAGTGGCCATAAATATGAGACCACGTACTACTTTCTCAGAACCTTCCAGTTCAAACTTTTGGTTGTTAAATGAGACCCACCTTTGTACAGAGTATATCCTGGAAGCAACATTACATAGCACTCTCATTTCTCATAACATCCTGGTGGGGTACATGGCTAGAGAGTACATGACTGGCTTCAAATACCCAGTGAGCTTCAGTGGCTGAGGGTGGCCTTGAGCCAGGGTTTCTCCAGTTTGAGCCCAGTTCTTGAACCCCAACATCACCCTGCCCATTTGGTTCTGCTGCTCACATCCAGTCCAGATGTGTAAGAGTTGCGCTCTGGCAGGCAGCACTTTTGAGTTCACTGACCCTTCCTTTGTTTCCTTCTAGGCGGTGTGGCTTTTGGCCCTCGTGGCCCCACCAGCTATTACTATATGCTTCCCATGAAACAGCGTGTCCTTGGCCTCAAGGTGGCGCTGACAAGCAAGCAGATTCAGGTATGAGAGACATATTGCAGTGTGAAGGCCTGTTCTGCCCTGATCTGCTTATGATTAGATTAGATTAGATTAGATTAGATTAGATTAGATTAGATTAGATTAGATTAGATTAACAAAATTGGAAGGGACCTTGTAGGTCATCTAGTCCAACCCCCCTTACAAGATGCCTCACCCAAGTCTTGGTAGAGGCTTCTCCCCCTCCACAATAGGTTGGTACCAAATCTCATAGTCAGGGTTGAAAATAAAAAGCGCATTACTGCAGGTGCCCATCTCCAAGGATAACATTTTAGGGAAAGCTCCTCCAAAGACAAATAATTCCTTGTGATAGACAGTTACACTGTGAAAGGCCAGAGTGGGCACTTTCCCTTTAGCCTGAGAAGAAAGAAAAATCTCATCACAACCCAAATCATTAGGCCAATCTGATTTAACATCAGCAGCACTGCAGGTTCTCCTGCTCAATGGCATTACTGGATAACATCCATTCAGTTTCTAATTATAATCTATCGAAAAAATTTCACTTGCTCTATTTACTTCCCTTTTCTGTCTCCTCGATGAATTATTCCACCTTTTGGCATTGTATTTTTAGATTAGATGTGAATCTATTATTCTTGTTGGGTTAGTTCCTAGCTACCGTATTTTTCAGAGCATAAGACACACCTTAGTTTTTGGGGAGGAAAATAAGAAAAAAGCTGATTGGCAGGTGGATCAGCTTCCCGGAATACCCCCAATCAGCTGTTCCCAGAGGTGAATTTTAGCAACAGGTTCCTTAGTTGTTAGCTCTGTGCCTTGCTTTTTTTTTGCTTTTTTTCCTGCCTCTGAAACTTCTGAAACTCCATTTCAGAAAAAACTTTCTTTTCTGCCTCTGAAAGCCTCCGAAATAGAGCTTCAGAAAAAAAAGCCTCTGAAGCTCTATTTGGGGGCTTCTTTTCTGAAGCTTCTTTTCTGATGCTTTTTTCAGCCTCTGAAACCTCTGAGAAGCTGGGTGGGGCTACATTCGGAGTATAAGATGCACCCAGATTTTCACCCTCCTTTTTTTGGGGAAAAGGTGTGTCTTATACTCGAAAAAAAACTGGTAGTTTTCCAATGGATGCTCCCTTTACTAGGGAGTACTAGTAGAGAGTTAGAATCAGTGGTGAGTTCCTCCCGGTTCGGCCTGGTTCCACCGAGCCGGTAGCGGTGATGATATGACATCACCGAACCGGTTCTCCCCCCCGCCCCCCCGCATTATTCTTACCTTTTATTTGGCCCCACCCCCAATCTATTGCTGCCTCCTGAGTCCCAGCTGATGGGCTATAAGGAAAAAACCTATTTAAACTCTTGCTGGGGCTTCAAAGGGCAGCCCTACAGCTGATGGTAAAAGGCAGTTTGGTAGTAGACCGGTGCCTCCAAAAACAAATGAGTAGACCGGTGCCTGCAAAAATAAATGGGTAGACCAGTGCCTGCAAAAATAAATGGGTAGACCAGTACAGCTCTGCTAGCAGTTAAAAGCCTGGTAGACCAGTACCTCTGCTAAATCCTAAAGAATTGTCACATGACTATCAAGCTACGCCCACAAAATAAGCCACGCCCACAGAACAAGTAGTAAAAAAAATTAGAACCCATCCCTGGTTAGGATGCTCCCTTTAGCAGCTCTCTGTACAGTTCAGAAACGTTTGGGTCTCTCATGAGCCCACTGCGATTAATTAAAATGGGCATTTGTGTATGCCTGTATCTGCTTTAAGGGATCTATGCATTAAAGTTAAAGCTTTTAAAGCAGCTGCTATGTCAGGCAGGTACAGAAGCTAGAGAAATGATGGGCTCTATTAATGAATGATAGAGACAATACTTGGTTTTGAGCATTTTTGCTGAATTATTTTCTAAGCGTTCTGCATTTAAGTTGATGTAGGTTTGGAGTTTCGGATATTTCAAATATTTTGTGTGCTTTTTCACAGTACATCTGAGTTAAGAAGGAGAGCAAGGGGTTTTAGAGAAGGAATATGCAGCTTTTTTTAAGCTTCAGGAGTGTGTTGCCATATTTTGTCTGAATTGATTGATTGACTTGGGGGATATGGAGGCTTTTGATGGACGGGGATGTTAAAGCCTCCATCTGAAGCCTTTTTCTTTCACTCCGAAATGGTTCCAGAAACAGGGTTTCTGGTGGAGTAGTTCACCTGCCACTGGATTATATAGAGGTCCTTATTTTTTCCCCCCAACCTGCAGGGTGATCTCCGTATTGTGGACTCTCTAGAGATGCCGACCTTTGATCCTCAGTATTTGGCAGACTTGGCTCGCTACAGGCATTGGGGAAGATCAGTGTTGTTCGTGGATGTGTAAGTTGATTTTGGTTGGGAGGTAAAAAGGATGGAGCGTACGCGCGTATGCGCTCACACACATGCCACACATACCTTGTTTTGTCTAGGACTGCTGGTCTCTTCAGCTATGGAATTTTTTCCTGTAAATCTGTTTTCAAGCTACATCTCAGGGCAGCCATAGGTTGGCTATTGGGAGTCTGAGTGAGAAGATTATTGTTGTCCTGCAAACTCCCAAATGGAAGTTTGTCTGCTGCTAGTCATCTTCCCATGAATTGACAGCCCTAGGGGCAACTTTAATACATCGAGCTGTAAACGGTACAGGTACTCTTTGGATTACAAGCACTCCTTCAGCAACTCTTCAAAGTTACAATGGAATTGAATGAGGGTGATTCATACTTGGCCCTCAAAATTGCACCTGTCGCAGTGTCCCCACGGTTTCATGGTTGCAAATTTGGGAGCCTGGTAACCACTTAATGACATCCTGTGGTCATGTGATCACCATTTCTGACCCCTTCCATGCTGACTTCTCACAAGCGAAGTCAATGGGGAAGCTGGCAAGAGGTTGCAACTTGCTCCTGCAAGTCACTCTTGCTCCTGCTGCCTTTCAGCCCATTCACCTGCACTCTGGCACCTGAGTGGAACTTGCCCACTCACACTACATCAGTGGTCACCAACTGGTGATCCGTGGACCACTGGTGGTCTGTGAGAAAATTTCGGTGGTCCGCAGAAAAATTAATTTGCATTTTTTATATTGCACTATATCAGGGTCCTCAAACTACGGCCCCTTGGCCGGATACGTGCAATGAACGCTTGTGTTGCTGCAGAAAGTCTCCCCCTTTGGGGTCTTTTTGTGCGGGTCGGAGGGGGGTTAGAAATTCCGACTTGGGGTCTGCTTTGGCCTCCTGGTGCGGGGCTTGGGGCGAAGGCTGGAGGGAAACGCTGCTGGTGGCAAAGAGCTGGAGAGCCTTGTTCCAGTAGGACTGCACCATGGCCTCAGCTGAGCCTCCAGGTGCCAGTACCTGGCCTTGCACTCCCGCAGGTCTTCCCTCTGCTTGGAAAGGCTATGCTCATAGTCCTCAGTGAGGTGTTTCTGCTGAGCCTCCTTCTCGGTCAGATCCAATTTGAACTGAGCCAGCTATTTTGCCAACTTTTTCTCATAGTGGCTGCTTAGCTCCAACAACTGCTTCCTTTGGGGCCCTAAGGAGCATGAGCGAGCAGGCGAGAAGTGGCTAGGAGGGGAGGGGTGAGTATAGGCTGGCAAGGTGCCCCTCAACGTGAGTGACATCAAGTTGGCCATGCCCACCCAGTCACATGACCACCTAGCCACGCCCACCCAGCTTGTCATTAGGCGGATCATATTAGTGGTCAGCAGGATTTAAAATTATGAAGTTAGCGGTCCCTGAGGTCCAAAAGGTTGGGGACCCCTGCACTACATAATACCCACCTGCAGCAATCACCTGTGCTTATAGCACCTCCTTGTGAAACCCACCCATGCTGTGCAGTGCCCACTTGCCGTGGCTCTCACCGACCAGCTGCTGGGATTGCTTTCACTAAGTGATGCAGTCATGTGACATCATGCTCTACAACTGTATTGTTTAATGATGATCCCAATTGCCGTCGTAACTCAAGGACTACTTGAAAGACCCAAAACGCCTGTTCCTGAAACCGTGCTTTTAAAATTATATTAGAAAGTGTTATAATACATTAGGCTTTTCTGGCAGATGAATTTATTTTTTTCACGATAAAAAGTTTGTAGATTGCTAGCATTTATGTTATATTAAGTACAACATTCTCATGGCTGCTATTAAATCATTTATTTATTTATTTATTTATTTATTGGTTCACTTTATTTGCTGCCCTTCTCCGGAGACTCAGGGCGGTTTACAATGCGTTAAGCAATAGCCTTCATACTTTTGTATATACCTGCTTAGTAGGGCTTCCCCCCCCCCAAGCGGTGTTCTTTTTTATATTATTTTTTGATAATTGATAATTTTGATAATTGGCAGAGCAGAGAATAGATCTGATTTGGGATACCCATTTTCCAAGCACATTAAATATGATATTTTAAGCTCATGACATCATTCTGCCCCATATGGCTTTTGCTTCAGTTACATTCCTTATGATTTAATCCAAATTTTGAAATACCCTTAGTTATAAACTCCCCAGAGTTGCATTGTAAAGGCTTCTGATTTTACAAAGACCTCTTTAGAGAGTACTAGAAATCCTGCATCTTTTGACTGTGGAACAGAAGTCTTTTGCACCTGCTGTATAATTAACGAAAGGGCCTGATATTTCTTTTATTTGTCGCTTGGAACAAATATCACCCCTTTCCCTAATAACAGTATTTGAGCGCCAACCTCATTCTGAAATTCCAAAATTGGGATATCCTTGAAGGCAATAAATGGAATGTCAGGAAGCAGACTTCTTAGCGCTTATGATGGGAGGAGAGCAGGAGAGTCACTGGGAACTTTTCTCTAATGGTTGGCTACAGTTGCTAGTCCTGTTCTGGAACCCTGATATTTTGCGGAGGCGTCTAAGTCCTTCTTAAGGAAGCCTGAATTTCTTTACTAAAGAAATGTGCCATTCATTTTTGACCAACCTACTGAAAAGATGGGAGAGACTTGAGGCATTGAGGCAGTCAGTCAGAAAGAGTTCTGCCCAGCAAATGGAGAGCACTGGCTAGAAGTTTTTATTCAGGAGATCCTAGATCTGAGTTTGTATAACATTTCACCTTCTTGGCTTTCAGAGATGAAATACCTGAAAACATCCAGGCTGCAACAGGCGATCTTAAAACTTTCACAGTGATTCCAGCAATAGGTGAGTTGAGATTGGATGAGTAGGATTTTTCAATAGATGAGTTCTTGCCTCTCAAACTATATAACCAGTCATAGGCCTCTGTTTTTCCCTTCTCAATCTCTAACTAGCATTGTAATTCCTATGATGCTGAAAACTCTTTTGTCCTTTTCCACTTTGGGGGATGATCTGCTGCTTCTTTTATTGTTTAGGGCTGTGTTACCCGCTTCCTCTCCATAGTTTTAGCAAAAAATAAAAGGAATTGATAATATAAATTCCATCTTACACAAAGCCTTATATTTAAAAAAAGAATGATAGGGCAGCTGGCCTCGCCTGGGAAAAAGGCCTGATTCTTCATTTTTGCAAACTGTTGGTATTTACACCTACAGCCTGAAAATATTAACTACAAATCTTGGAGATGCTGCCAGAAAGAATGTCTTTCTGTATATGACTGACACCCTGATATTTGGCAAGAGAGCACCAAGGATTTGTTAAGAATTTTTTTTCCAATAAAAGGCCATAAGAAACTTGCAGCAATTCCTTCCACCACTCCAATTTTTTTTTACCTCACCTATGAAGTGCTACTATCTGTATTATATTATCCAGGACAGGTTATGTCTGCAGCTAATGCCACTGCCTTGTGTCCTCCCTTTCTTTTAGTCCTTCTGGGTGGTGTACAAGACATAACAGAAAAGCATTGTGTAACTATTTTAATAGAAACAGTTAAAAACTATTCTGTAACTGGCATCTTCCAGTGCCAACAATGTTTCCAAAGATTTCTGATCCACAAATCCTTGGGGGACTCTGGGACTAAGGGCTGCTTCTTTCCTGTTTTCATCTGTGGAGTAAAATAACTCTCTTCACCCCTAGGTCTTAATGTGCACAGCATGCTGAAGCATGAAACCCTGGTGCTTACCTTGGACACCATCTCCTTCTTGGAAAAGAAACTGCTATGGCATGACTCACGATACAGTCCGCTGTATCCCTTCCAGTTGCCCTACAGTGATTTCCCCTAGCTCATTTGTCAAAGACTGACCATTTTGTGGGTATGCTTGTGTATGTTTTTTTAATATGTACATTAAAACTAAACATTCTGCCTGAGTTGTCATCTGTCCTTGAGTATGGGCAGCCTTGAAATAAAAACTTCCAGTTTAAAAAGGATGTGGTATCACTCTGGGAATTAATTTAGATGAAGGAAACACTATTTATATAATGTATTTCAGAGAAATGGTGGAAAGATTTTGCGGAATCAGACCAAGGTTATTGAGAGGGTTGTTTGTTTGTTTGTTTGTTTTTAAATCTGGAATCTTGTTTTCAGAAACAACTAGTGACTACACCTTTGGAAGCCCCTGAGTAGAAATTGGAAGAGTAAACTTGGGTTTTCACAGAACTAAGATTTTACGGGTTTTGACTATGGGGAAAACAAGGTGTTAGTTTTCCTGCAGTGAAAAATAGACTTTGAAGGTAGATGCTAGGAATCCTCATTGTTATGTTCTTCTGTGGAAAATAGTTTTTTCCCCCTCCACTGTAACTTAAGGTCTTCAATGTGGAAATCATTATAAAGTAGAATTGTAGTAACTACCCAACTTATTTCACATCTAATTTAGAAAATTTCTTAGCCCACAGAAGGAGTTCTCTATTTTATTTCTTTTATTTCCCTGGTTTGTCAGCTTCCTAGAAATAAAAAAAAATGACTCGGAGTGAAATATCTTAAATTTTACCTTGTAAAGAAAAGAAGTTTCATGATACTATTATGCATTCCTAACCAACAATACTTCTCCAAGTTAGCAAGCCCCAAATGTATTTGGAGGGAAGTGATTAAATGCAGATTACTTGTCAGTGGCAGAGAAACAAAAAAGTACAGCTACAGAATAAAGTGGCATAATATAATGACTTGAATTGTAATTTAGGAAGAGATTCAGAGAGATTAGTCTTGCCCAATTCAGTATTTCTGTTTATATATTAATTTTTGATGTTTTTCCATTAGATATTTTCTTATTTTTGCTTGGCAGAACCTTCATAAATAACTACTTATCTGGCTCTCTAATCTGTGGGAACAGATAAATATTTCAATTTGTAAAGTTGTAATACTAAAAACTTTCCAGCATTGACATTTATTGCAAGTTTATATTGTTGAAATGTGTTCAGTGCACACTTTAATAGAACAGGTATACTTACATCTAAGTGCAAAGTGCTTTGTACTTGAAATGCCACTTTGTTTCAGATTCCAAACAGCTCATTCTGATCTTCTAGTCAGCTTTCTAATGTGGTTGGAGGTACAAATACAGTGGTGCTGAGTTTGCAATACCTCGTGGCCTACTGACCACAAAAGTGGGGAGCAGGGCTGTGGAGTCGGGAGATAAATGTTTCGACTCCAACTCCGACTCCTCAGTTTTTTGTACTTCCGACTCCGACTCTGACTCCGACTCCAGGTACCCAAAATTTCCTCCGACTCCTCGACTCCGACTCCACAGCACTGTCAGGGCTATGGAGTCGGGAGATAAATGTTCCGACTCCGACTCCGACTCCTCAGTTTTTTGTACTTCCGACTCCGACTCCAGGTACCCAAAATTTCCTCCGACTCCGACTCCTCGACTCTGACTCCGACTCCAACTCCACAGCACTGGTGGGGAGGGAGGTAATTTCTGATGTATTCACGATCTCTTCTTTGCTCTTTGTCGAAAAGAGTAATCTGAGGTTACTTCCTTCTCCCTTTTTCAGGCCCATGCATGGAACAATGCTTTCTGACTCCCCTCCTGGTAGGATCTAGTTAGCAAGGTGCCTATCCCTATAATGCATTTTCTGTAAATAAATCATCTTTCTATTGTAGTTATTAAATTTCTTTTACTAATCATTTTTCAGGCCAGGTTCTTCCTTTCTGAAATACCATACAAACCTCCAATACTTTCGAATTTCAAAATTAAATACTTTGGGGAGGAGGAGACTGGGAACATTTTTGGAATATTTGGAACACCCTTAGTTATGTTTAAAGCAATAAGTTTGAACTCAGAATAAGCCTGTTCTAATTCAGAATGATTTGGGCATTGCTAATGAAAACAGTTTGCATTAGGCTTCCTTTTTTAATCTTAGTTTTGAAATAGAAGTGGCTGCAGTTATGCAAGCATCAGTTGCCTGTTTCAATGGAACTCCTTGGTAATCTTGTGAAACTGTTATAATAATTTAGTTAAAAACCTCAAAGGCAACGTCAGCATGTAAGAGAAGTATAGTGAAAGAGCAACCCTTAATCTATAGTGAAAACATATTGTGCTTAAACATGTAAGTATTGAAGATACAGTGAAAAAAGGAATTTGATTTAATGTTTATTTGAGCCAACACCAAATTAATCTTCATATCTGAAGAGAAAAATTAGTTTCCAGCATTCCAATTTAGCAAAATTTTTCAGAGCAGAATATTTTACACAGAAATTTGCTGAAATTATAAAATTTCCTTTGTATAATTTCTAGAGACTGGGAAGGGTGTTCTGTCTATGCATAGCTTACTTAGTCATGAATTCATGCACATCCTGTTCACGCTGTGGGTGCATGTTGGACAGAGCTTGAAAAATTATGCTCATTGCAGAGCTCACGGGATGGCCTCATTCAATTTAACTATTCTGAGATTAAATGGATAAACCAAGATATTTCTTATAAACCATGATGAGCAAACTAAAGTCCCAGGCCTCTATTTGTATCCATTGTCAGGGTTCCAAGTAACACCCCCAACAAAAGAAGACTGAGGCTTGGAAGTTCCTCAGTTCCATTTTATTAGAGATGTCATATTGGCACATCTGGGAAAACCCAAATCTGAAAGTTTCTAGGTTTTCCCCACCCAAAAGAAAGTCCAGCACCCACATGTCCATCACATGGTCCAATCAAAGCACTGTCCCAACTGGAGATACCTCCCAGGCACACCCCTCCAAGTGCAGGACAAAATAATAATTAATAATTAATAATAATTAATAATAATTAATAATAATAATAATAATAATAATAATAATAATACTTCTATACCACTTCATAGTGTTTTACAGCCCTCTCTAAGCAGTTTACAAAGTTAGCATTAGTTAGTATTAAAACCTAGCACAGCTATCTTCTATCATTTGAAGGCAGCAAAATTAACGTAAGATGAAAGTAATTTTCACATATCTTCTTTAAAAAAGGGAGAGGGAAATCTCTCCCTGAAAAGTCCAGTGAGGAAAACTCTACCTCATTTCCTATTTTGAAATTCTTAACTTTTTAACTATTCTTAACAATGAAGGTAGTGTATGTTACTAAAAGACTGATCACAGATCTCTGAAGGAAGGATTAAAGATTGCAATCACAGAATTAGATACAATGATACTTTGGCTTCCTGAATAGCACAGCGAGATCTGCCCCATTAAAAGGAAGTTTGCTATCTCTGTGGTTGCACTCGTTGCTGGTTTAAAGCAATAGATCCTTCTTCCCAAATCATAAGAACCTAGTATGGGTCACGTCTGTAAAGAAGCAACACAGCCAGAAAGGAAAAGGCTCTGAACAAGATGCTTTCAGGAGACAAAAGAAGTTTGTGAAGTACACAAGAACATTGTCTGTCACCCATCTGATTTCCACTTTCTTTCCCAGAGGAAGAGGAAGAGCAGACAACTAAGCAGAGAGACTGAGGAACAAATGTAAGAGAAGGAGTGGCAGAACCTGAAGGTGGAGTGAAAAGAGGAATCAGCCTAGAATCCTTACATAGCCACAAGAGAACCAAGTCCAACCTTTTGAGTTCCATTGAGCCTTAGGCCCTTAGCTAACCCCAAGCAGGTGTTAACAGTTGGAAGATTCTTATGTATAGGCATGGTGAGCAATAAGTCAGCTTAATTGGACCTTCAGGTGTGGATGCGACCTTTCATGCCTGACAACTCACAAAGAGGAGAGATTTTTGGAAATCCACACCTGTTGTTTCTTTAAAATAAAAAATGGACATGGTGCTTAATTTTAGGGATTTCCAAACTATGGGGCCCCAGACTTCCATCTAGTGGTCTTACTTTAGTAGCACCCTTCCTTGCCATATTGCACTTGGAACCTTGGAGAAAAGTGACCTTGAATTCATGCATTTAATTAAACCTGCTACTCACCAGACACATCAGGAATAATCTTTGGAAGGTAACCAGATTTGGGAAGCTCCTCTATTATATTAGAGAGTTAGAAGATGAAAATGAATCACAAGTACCACATTTATCCAGGCTTAAATACTGTAATTCTCAAGGAAGCAATCTTTGGATGTTACAGGTCACCAATACATGGCAGCACTGACACAGGACAGCGTTTCTTGAGTTTGGCAATTTTAAGCTGAGTGGGCTTCATCTCTCAAAAGCTCCGGCTGGGGAGTTCTGGGGGTTGAAAAAGTCCACATGTCTTAAATTTGCCAAGGTTGAGAAACTGTTAGGAGCTTTGATATGGCCTTTGGCCTTTGTTTTTTCACTTCAGTTTGAAGTTGCCGTGAGAACAGATTATGTTGCAACATAACAGTTATGTTATGGAAGACTGCAGTGAGTAATTGTCAGTGCATATTAAGCAAGATATTATGACTGAACTTTTGATTGTTGAAGGAATCCTATTAAAATTGACCACTAGATACAGGTTATTTATGGCAATGATTATGTTAAGATGAGTACTGTGCGTTCCTGGGCCATAGAATATTAAAAGTGGACTGGTAAGTGATCAAAAATGAAATGGATGACCTATGACAGCTGATGAATTTTACATGAGAAATTTTGACCTAAGGATAATTGGCAAATTGCTCAAAGTGAAATTGCTGTCTTGCTTGCAATTTAAAGGAACATATGGATTACATAACTGAGTTCTTGATTTTAGAAGGTTTGTGTAAGATAGGTTCCTCGCAAGCAGAAATGAAAGTTCAGGGTTGAATGGAATTTAAACGTAGATCTCCAGTTTCAATGCCCCAAATGTGTTGTTGATATTCAAAATTGTCAGTTCTGATATTTTATTGCATTATTTCTCTCAAATATAAATAATTTCATAACCAGTATTTATTCTTATTTTGGAGCTATTTCTTTGGTCTCAGTTTGGAGAAAAATAATGGTTTTTCACTCACTGAATGATTTTTTACTTGCACTCAACTTTTACTGTATGTTCAAATGTGAGAGGAGATTGTTGCAAGAGATGATCTGGGTTTTC